TGTTTGATGCTTGGTGGAGGGACAGGATCGTCTTCTTCAACAACGTACACAGCTGCAGTTCTTATCTATTTCGGCAACTTAGAAAGTACTGCTTAATGATTTATAATGCCGCATTGTTGTCGTTAAATAGAGTGAGCGTGACGCTATATAGAGTGTAATATTGTATCTATAGAAAACAATGTAAACCAACCAAAGTCAAGCAATTTCGACGTTTTAAGGAGTTTGTCGTTAAATCGAGTGACGTTATAAATAGTTTACACTGTATTTCTATATTTGTATCTTGAAATACTTGTCATAGTACATCAGTAAAGTCCCTTATTTTTTTGTTCGGTAGGTGGTCTGTTACTATACTAACTGGTCGCAGTATAGACCAAAGATTGGTAAATACCTCCCTGAAGACATCACTCCTGATCTATGCACCCACTTGATCTTTGCGTTCGGATGGATGAAGAAAGGAAAACTGTCATCATTCGAAAGCAATGACGAAACCAAAGACGGAAAAGTTGGACTTTACGAAAGAATCCAAAACCTCAAGAAAGCTAATCCAAAATTGAAGACCCTATTGGCCATTGGTACGTATTCCAATTCTTTCAATAGAATTATAATCCTAAGTGATAAGGTTACTGTAATCACACCATATCCTTGATCTTCATGAAAACGCATTTCGGTCTTCATTTAATTCTTATTCAACTCCATCCCATTTCTTTTCTGGTGCAACTTTTATCCCAGATTAACAATGTCCGACAGGGATTTTTATTATTTTCAATATGCATAAATAAATTAGAAAAATCTGACGGATATTATTGCTAATTTCCAGGTGGTTGGTCCTTCGGAACACAAAAGTTCAAAGACATGTCAAAAACCAGATATTCGCGTCAAACTTTCATCTACAGCGCTATCCCGTTCTTACGAGACCGAGGATTTGATGGACTTGATTTGGATTGGGAATATCCTAAAGGATCCGACGACAAGAAAAACTTTGTCCACCTTCTAAAAGGTAAGAGTTCACTAATTTTACAATTTTACTTACTATGAAATAATAGATAAAAAGCGGTTAATTTTCTAAGAAAAGTTTAATCGTTCATTTATGACTTAAAGCACCTTAGAAATGTGCCTCTTTTGTTAATGAGGGTAAAACTAGGATGACGTATAAAATGTTGCCAAAGTTGTAAAAATAAAAATAAAGGATGTATAAAAATACTTTATATTTTTAAATTAAAATTTTGAGATTCAGAAAAAGATTTTTCGAAAAATGTTTATACGAACTTTCCTTCATAAAATAACCTGAGTGATCATCCCTTAAATTTTATCGCATGTTTAAAACACACCCTGCATATGTTGATCGTTAATATAAACAATTTGTTTAAAGATTTGTGCACTTGATTTTAGTAGATTGATAAATAAAGGAGTTTCCCAATATCAAATTTTCAAAATGTTTCAAATTAGGCTACGCTTCCTTACCTAGACAAAAATTTTCAGTCTCTCTCCAGTCTCTCAGAGTCTTTCAGCGTCTTTGAAAGCGTCTCTCATAGTCTCTTAGTTATTGCTTAGGTGTTTTTATGGATCTCTCAAAGTCTCAGATTTGAGTCTCTCAGATAGAGATTGAATGAATAAAACTGAAAAATTGGGAGACTAGAGTCTCTCGTAGAAAGACTGGGATCTCTGAAATATGTTGAACTTAGAAAATTTTAACCATATCTATAGAGATATCACTTATTGAGAGATTGAGTCTCTTGTTCAGAGATTTGAGTCTCTCGTTCAGAGACTGCATGAATACGAAATGAGGGTCTCTCTATGAGCGACTCGAGTCTCTCGTTCAGAGCCGCTAAACAGTTTTTTTTGACAGTCTCTCAGCAGTCTCTCTCAGCGACACCAGAGAGACTCGAAGAGAGACGGAGACTCGAGTCTCGCTTTCAGATACTCTGAGAGACTGAACATTTTTATCTCGGGTTGGTACATAAATACATTAAAGCTGTCATTCTTTGATGGGCTTTATTAAATCGCTGAATGAAGCTTCTTATAAACGTTGTGTTTAGTTGCTATTTTTAGATCTAAATCTGACAGCCATTTTGTACCATCACACGTTAACTGAATCGTAATATCTTATTGTTGTATCACGCCTACTCAATGTCTGGAGAGGATTATAGGCTTGCGATTAGTCACGAAAGAAATACGATGAACATGTACACACTTTATGTATTATTTATACGACTTTCTTCGCCCTTGTTTCGAATGCACAATAGATAATGATATTGTACACGATCGAAATGGTGCTTTTAATAGATTTGCGTGATGAGTCGGCGTTATGAATTTCAAGGTGCACCGCGATCTTTATTATTATTACGACTTATGACGAATGAAAAATAGAAAGTGTCAATTTTAACGATGTCTTTTGTTGGCGAACGGACTAAACTAACAATAACAACAATTACGAATTATTTCTAAATTTGGCGCCACAGTGTTACTGTTAATTACCAGAATATTAAAATAACTTTCATTACGAATTTCTAAAAGATGTAATAGGGTAAATTTAGGAGAGATGAACCGCTTTTTTTAAAACCCCTACAACTTTTATATTTTTTACCAGGGAGTAAGACTTTGTTAGTATATTAATGTTGTCACACTTGAAATCGATATATGAACAAACGGAGTTATACTATTTTCAAAAATAGTGTTAAAATTCTCCTTTTTATTAACACTATTAATAGTGATTAATATTAAATGTTAATTTGTTCGAATCCCGGCGAGGGTGTGACCACAGCAACAATTTCTCGTTTTTATTTAATGCAACATTTATCATTCACAGTGTTTATATTGGTACAATGTTGCTTCAAAGCTGTAGGTACCCGAGATAAAAATGTTCAGTGTCTCAGAGTCTCTGAAAGCGAGACTCGAGTCTCCGTCTCTCATTGAGTCCCTCTGCTGTCGCTGAGAGAGACTGTCGAGAGACTGTCACTGAACGAGAGACTCGAATCGCTCATTGAGAAATCCTTATTTCGTATCCAGTCTCTGAACGAGAGTCTCTCAATTTTTCAGTTTTATTCATTCAGTCTCTCTGTGAGAGACTCGAATCTCTGAATTAACAATTTTATCGTTCGAGTCTCTCATAAAGAGACTGTGAAAGATTCATTAAAACACCTAGGCAATAACTGAGAGACTGTGAGAGACTGTGAGAGACGCTCTCAGGGACGCTGAAAGACTGAGAGACTGGAGAGAGACTGTCAAAAAAGCTGTTTAGCGTCTCTGGACGAGAGACTCGAATCGCTCATTGAGAAATCCTTATTTCGTATCCAGTCTCTGAACGAGAGTCTCTCAATTTTTCAGTTTTATTCATTCAGTCTCTCTGTGAGAGACTCGAATCTCTGAATTAACAATTTTATCGTTCGAGTCTCTCATAAAGAGACTGTGAAAGATTCATTAAAACACCTAGGCAATAACTGAGAGACTGTGAAAGACTCTGAGAGACGCTCTCAGAGACGCTGAAAGACTCTGAGAGACTGGAGACAGACTGAAAATTTTTGTCTAGGGTACTTACATTTAAAAAAAAAATGCAATAAAAATAGGATGCACGCAAATACCGGATCCTATAAATAATCAATAAATTAGCACCAACATTTCAAAAATGTTTCAGGTATTTTGTTTTCATTGGAAAGGAAAATCTTCCGTGCAAAAGGGTGATAACCTTTACTTTCATTTCGTTTATAATTGTTTAATATATTAAAAGTTACCAAAAAGTTCCTAATTTAACGTAAGAGACTTCTAAAAAGTTCTGTCCACTTCACTGATTCGGGCCTGCCATACAGATACCGCTTTTTATGTTGGACTGGATCAAGTAATCTGTATGTACTTATACCTAATAAATAAATAATATATAATATAACAACTACGAAGTGTGAAGATTTTATCGATATTATTGCTTTGAGCCGTTCGTTAGTTCATCTGTCAACATACCAGTTAATCTTAACAAATCTAGAATGCTAATTTGTTGTTCGCATTTTTAATCCTATTACCATTTACAAATAGATGTTACCGTCAAAATTTTATCAAGATGGTAGAGGTTCGGTACCAATGAAAGACAATAGAAAGTGAGACATACCTATATTTCTTCACGAATATTTCAGAATTGTTTGCTTCAACTATTGTAATGTTCAAAAGGAGATAAAAGGCAAATAACAGCATAAAAACGTTATTTGAATGAAGAGATATCGTTAATTTCTGTTAAAAAAGGATTAAAATATTAATATTACTATTTGGGCCAAAGAAAACCCAATTAATACTTCACGTCCCTAAACAAAATCCAATACGTGCTTCGTCTACCTCCTCGAAAATGAATTTAGTTCTTCAATCATCTGATCATAGGTCATCGTTTAACAACGTCTTAAGATTGTCTCTTTTCAAGTTCTGAAACAAGAATTTTTATGAATTCAAATTTAAACCTACCTACATTGAAAATTAGTGTTGCTATTGGATTATTAATATGTTGTTCATGTTCCGGAACAAAATCCGAAAGAAACTGATGAAACTTTCATTTATACAAGGTGTTTCTGAAATAAGTGGCAAGCTTGTAGAAGATGATAGGCTACGGTAAAACAAGAAAATTAAGTAGATGTTTAGAGGTCCGAAAGTACACCGTTTTGATTTGATAGTATAGTCATAGATAAGTCCGGCCCTGGTAGGAAAATACGATATCCATGAACTGCAGAAACCGTGTTGTACGAGTATTTTTTTTATATTTTTAATACCATGTTGAGGTGTACATTAAAGACTACTACATACTATCAGCGATCAACAAAGAGTTATTTAATTAATTTTTATCACAATGAGCGCCTGAAGATTATTATGTGTAGTTATGTAGTAGTAAGCCATTGATATTTACATTATTCCACAACCGGCACTGTTTACATTCTTCATCGATGTAATTGCTTAGCTTAATTATCTCAGTTTTTCTGTACGTTACCAATTCACGCCCAGGGCTGGCTTCGGACTGCAATATCGTCTGGTTTTCGTATTAATTTTTTTGTTCCTTAACCACACTTCTTTACCCATCATGCCATTCTCTATTTTGCATCTAACGAACACCCTCCAAAGCTTGCTACTTATTTCAGAAACACCCTAAATTTCATCAATGGTATTAATCGATCCATGGTTTTCTTATGAAACAGTTTAGTAATAGCCAAGTAAAAGTTCAATAAATGTTTCACAAAATTGTACGTATGTTTAAAATTGTTAGACTTTGTCCACAAGTATATACAAATTAAATACAATATTTAAGAAGCCCCAACCTGTTTTAGGATTTTAATAAAACTTTTTGAAGCATTGAACAGAAATTTTACTTTTAGAAAATACCACAAATGGCACGGTAAACGCCATCTGGCGCCAGATGGCGTTCTGTCGGAGCTGTCTCCGATGCGCTGATGAGATCCAAAAAGATCGAAATCGCGATCCGCGTCTGGCAGTTTCGACAGAATACAGACCACTTCGAATTATTTTATATGATATTTTACTTGTTTATTACTAACGGAATAGATGGTAACTCGGCAGCTCCCTTTCGTATTGAAAAAGACCATCCATCTGTGATGAAAGGGAAATTTTAATTGAATGCTTTTAGAAAATGTTTCTTAGTCAAAGGTTTTATTTTGTAATTAAATGTTTATTTCTTAATGTTTATGATAGACCTAACGTTTAAAGGAATGAAAATTGTTATTTTAGTTTTATTTTTGCAACCAGTTGGCGACATTGCGTACCAAACAGACAAGTTTTAGATAAATTTTGAGCATTGAATTTTTAAAATATTAAAAAGCCACGATATCTCAAGGATCCCCGGACTTAATTCCTTTTTAAATTGAATAAATATTTTCCTATCTTATTATAGCTACGAGAACACAAACGCGAACTAAACGAGATATGGAAATTCAACTTTCGATTGCTTCCCACGCAGTCATTGTTATTAAAAAGGCTTTTTTTGTAGCGACATTTTCCACAAGAATACACAGCAGTTATTTCCCCTGTGCTTAACACCACTATCGTCGGCCCACACTTTCTATCTCGGAATCGCGTCAATGTCGTTTCTCTAATTCCATTTCCGTGTGAGGTTTAGGAACAGTTTCTATTTCACACATACGTAGATACATATGTGCATGCACATAAGAGTCAGTTAATGTTTCGAGTAATTACCAACACGATTACTATTTAACGTCATCCATCAACACAATCCGTATGGAACCTACTTAATTACAATAACGCGGCAATACGCAGCTCATTCTGTCTTGCTACCAAATACTCCGGTATGCGCTTTCTAATTTCTAATCTTAACCCCCATGGGATCTGCAAACAGGAGACAGATTTCCGTTTTTCAAGAAATACTATCAATTGTGAAAGTACAAAAATGATAAAAATTATAACCCAATATATATGATAAGTTAAATTAATTTCGGAAAAAGTTTTAGACTTTTAAAGTTGTAATCAGTTGGGAACATCGATTATGACCTTATGTTTAACCTGCAAGGTTATTTATAGGTCAACCAGTTTTTCCTAATAGTAGTAATACATTTTTACCTCCATCATAGAGAGGTCAAAAAATTTTAAAATGGAAAATACTCTTGACTTTAAGGTTTAAGTGAAAGTTGAAGCTGTTATGATCAAGGGTGCTTGCAGTTATGAAATTGCTCGACCATCCGTTGGTGGGGTCAAAAATATGCATGTCCTTAAAGAAAATGACCTGACTCCAAATTACCCAGCAGGTCAAAATGACGATCATGTTGAAGATCTGAAATTGATTGGACAATCATTGTATAAAAATTTTCCGAAATAATGAGATCGCACCTTTCATTGACTCCAGATAAAAAGCTCATATAGGTGACCTTCCACTCATTGGATGCAATGGTCATTTTTGTACCCTTGTATCTTGGGAAAACAACGGTAAAGTTATGGAAGCTCGATTATTAACACTGTAGCTTATGAACTATTAAATATAAAAATAAATTCTCGATTATCGATAAATATAAATTTATTTACAATATCCGCATTTAATACGTAAATAATTAGAAATATCTTCGTTTATTTGCAGAATTAAGAGAAGCGTTTGAAGCAGAAGCCCAAGAAGTTAAGAAGCCGCGCCTTCTTCTAACAGCAGCTGTCCCAGTAGGTCCTGATAACATCAAAGCAGGCTATGACGTTCCTGCAGTTGCATCCTATTTAGATTTTATTAATGTTATGGCTTACGATTTCCACGGGAAATGGGAAAGGGAAACTGGACATAACGCACCTTTATATTCACCAAGGTATGTCAATAAATAGCCACAAAACTATATTTTTATGTAACAACTCGCATATTTTGTTGTCTGTACTCACTTTTGGCTCGTCTACGACTCGTGCTAAAGCATATCGCCCCTAACTTAATCATTCACGCACCTAATATGTTTAATACCAGTGTGAACAGTAAGTGAAATTACATTCACCAATAAATAGACACAAAACTACATTTTTATGTGACAACTAACATATTTTGTTGGTTGTACTCAATTTTGGCTCGTCTTCAACTCGTCCTAAAACATATCGCCCCTAACTTCATCATTCTCGTACCTAATATGTTTAATACCAGTGTGAACAGTAAGTGAAATTATATTCACATTTTCATGCGATAACTAGCATATCCTATTGTTTATACTCACTTTTGGCTCGTCTACGACTCGTCCTAAAGCATATCGCCCCTAACTTAATCATTCTCATATCTCATATATTTAATACCAGTGTGAACAGTAAGTGAAACAAACATATGGATTTAAAGGAACTGGGCTAAATACCTTTTTTGACCAATTCTTAGGTCAAAAAAGAAGCATCAGTTACTATTTTTTCGTGCTCAATATAGGCCAAAAACGTTTCTTATTAGCCCATTTACGTTCGCCTAATACATTAAATACTCAGTGAAATTTGATACTTCTGTACTGTAGGTACCCATTTCTTGCTCAAGTACGACTCATTTTTAGCTCGACTGCGGCTCATACTGAAAACATCGATTGTTTACATATATCGTACGTAACAAAATTTTATAATTTGTTCCAGTTCTGACAGCGAATGGCGTAAACAACTGTCTGTAGACCACGCATCCAACTTGTGGGCTAAACTTGGTGCACCAAAAGAAAAACTGGTGATAGGAATGCCAACATACGGAAGGACTTTCACGTTAGCAAATAAAGACAAGTACAAGGTCAATTCTCCTGCCACAGGGGGAGGTAAAGAAGGAACCTACACTAAAGAATCAGGATTTCTTGCCTACTATGAGGTAAGTCTTTTTTTATGTTGACAATGATCAGAAGTACAGGTATTTAGAATGGTTCAGTTGATTGAAATACAAATATAGAAGATAAAAATGAAGGGGTGTGTACTTACGTATAAGTGATAGAATAATAATTACTTATATACTTATTGAAACAATATTTCGAAGTGAACGGGTATGAAAAGACCTGGATAAGAAGAGGTAAAAAAACGCAAAAGTCTTTGCGCAATAAGCGACTGCGCATAAATTTCGGTATTGACAGTTGTCAAACATAAATTATAAACAAAAGGTGTATTCGTTAATTAATTTTGTTATGATTTGCGCATGCGCTTTTCCGAAAATTAGTCGCGCACAAATGGGTTTTCATATAAAAAAGTCAAACGAACATCGGACACGCCTTCTATCTCCTTGCGTGTGCTTCAAATGGGTTGCGCACTGTCTTACTGCGCAGCGACTTACACTTTTATATTTGCGCCATACATTACGCGTTCGTATTTAGTTTCTACTTCTTCCTTTAGTCATATGGCGTTGATTTGTTGTCTCTCTCGAAGAAGATAGTTTATTTTCAAGTTTGAGTTTTACTATTTGATTTTCCCCAATTAAAAATACAAAAAGATCATGCAACATTTTTCACAAAATGATAAAACTAGAACATTAAGACTATAGTCTATCAATGCCGAGGTGAATAGGGTAATTAATGTTTCAATGCAAAAAGCTGTACTAAAGGATCAAAATAATTACCTTCATCTAAAATTATTTTGTGGACAACTTCGTAAATCACAATCATTAGTTTTACATTTTTATTAATTAAAACGTTCTTTTTGTATACTTAAATTTCTCGAAGCAGTAAATAACTAAAAAATATAGTCCTGGATAATAGCCATAATCAATTTTATGCCATCGCAGTTAAACAACTTCATTGGAAAGTGATGTAGTCATTAATGATAATAAATAATAAAATTAGCATAGAATGATTAGAACACCCATAACAGTAAAACGTCTTATTGAGGTCTGATGGGAGGTCGTAAAAGTGAAACGTGTTGTTTGTAAATATTAAGTATTATAAGTCGTGGGAGGCCGCGAGAAGATCGCACAATAAAAACGCAGTAAAAATCCACTTAAAAGAACAAAAGACCGTCTACAGAATTTTGTTCCCTTTCGCACTTTGGCATTTTATTTCTTCTATCGCAAATCTCTTTCCGTTCTTGTATACATATTTAATGAGCTTGGTGGAAAATAAATTCCTTTCATTTTCAGATGTTAGCTGGAGCACCGTTTTATTGCTTTTAAAAGTTCCCGAATAAATTTGAGGGAATGTAATGAAATTCTCTCCAAGCTTTCTTAATTTGCAAAGGCACCCATAGCGATAGATACCTAATACACATTAAAAAGTTCCATAGTCCTTTAAGGACGTCGATAAAGGCGCAAATAAGAATTAATTAAACAAATACAACCTTGAAATACACGACGAGAAATTGTAAATTAATTTAGAATGTAGTACTTAAGCAACCGATAAAAAAACGACTGTTTTTTTCTGAATAGTCAATTATTTCGATTAATCGATTATTTATAAATTCTGAAAGTAGTCCATTAATATCAATCGATAGTGTACTTTATAACAAACGGATTCAGTTCGAATAGAACATTAAGAACTAGAGTATATTAGGAACCCTTAGCAATAAAAATAGTTAAAGGTATAGTTGCAGTTAGTCGCAGAAGTAATAAACATACTTCGTTTACTTTCTCTAGCGATATGTTATTCCTTCCAATATCTTGGATGCGCGCTGGCAAAATCGTAGGTAGGGAGAAAAAAGCTCATACTATCGACTCTTGTTCATTAAACATACTTTTTCATACAGTACCTGCCAAAAGTTTTGTTCAATCATGAATAGTAGTGCAAGTCGAAAAAAAACGTTAAAGCCTTTAATATGTCTTCAAATATAAATAAACATCTCGTTGATATTTTCAGTAGTAAATAGTAACAATAACAGCACATTTGAGCAATGCAATTGTAGTGGATAAAATGGTCAATTTTTCCGTGCAGTACTGTACGGATTATACGCTTCTCACCGGTTAACAGTTTGGCCGGGAGTTGTCTCCTTCCTTTTCTGGCCTAGTGCTGTTCTTTTCTACTTTGCGCCTGTCAAACTGAAGGTCACATCAGTACAGAACGTAAACAAAGTATACGACAAGCTAATCGATTATCCCAAATAATCGATTGTTATTAAAAGCGGAAAATAATTAATTTATAATCGAATGTTCGATAAATAGATTATTAATTGGTTAATCGGGTAATTTTTGCCCAGACCTAGTTATTACTGCAGGTAGCTTCACCTTTAATGGCGCGTCATAATGTGATCCTATCTAGATTCAACTGTCTCTCTCAATTTGCATGGCTTCTGTTAACTTCGTTTATACTTTCCATTTCCAATTTCCTCTCTGCACATTGGTTATGCACGATGGCAATAACCACCACAGTGAACGTCAGCGTTTTTTAAATTACCTCTTCTTTTCAAATTCTTTTACAATCTTACAGTTTTATCGCCTTTTACGCGGTAGTCATCTTGTCGAAATGTTTTCTAGAATGGTCTCTTTATTTTTGTAGTATATGCGACTTAGTAAGGTAAAGCACTAAAATTAGTCGTTTATTATAAGTGAAATTCCTTTGAAACGAATGTTACACAATGCACTCACAAGCCAGTAATGAGGGTAAACTGATAAATTAAACAGTGTTGGCTTGTTGTTTGAAGATTCAGATTCTGTTCAAACTATCAAATAGATCGAGTAGGAACTATGACAACATGAATCATTAAAAAATTCTTACATCAACATATGAAAAAAAAAATATGCAGTTCAAAGACAAGGAACGAACTAACTTAAATTGTAAAAAATGCAAATTCTTTCATTTATAATTCATAAACTAAAGGGATTTTGGACAACGGTTTCTATATCGCAAAAAGCTCGGAAATGTCAGTTGTCTTGAATATAAAATATATGAATATTAATCGAGATCTTCAAACAAAAAATTCATTTTTACTGTTCCTCAAAGGTCCCACACTTTGAAATAATATAAAATGTTTACTATCCAAACATCAAAAAGTCCATATTTCTTGGATTTGCTTCCGCTTTTTTGCTTTCATATCAAAAATAAAATTACAAAACTTCTTCCAGTACTAACTTACTTTTTGGTTTAGTTGACTGAAACCTGAAGTTAATTTGTGGTCCCTTGGGAATTATTTTAGGTGTGTGATATGCTGAGAAATGGCGCAACCTACATCTGGGATGATGAAATGAAAGTACCTTATGCAATTCACGGAGATCAATGGGTTGGATTTGATGACGAAAGATCCATCCGACACAAAATGAAATGGATTAAGGAAAACGGTTTCGCCGGAGCTATGGTCTGGACTGTAGACATGGACGATTTTACTGGTAAAGTTTGCGGCGGAAATATGAAATACCCACTTATTGGAGCAATGAGGGAAGAACTCAGGGGTATCTCCAGGGGAAAAGATGCTAAAGATATAGACTGGGAAAAAGTTGCTGGAACAATAATTGAAGAAGAAGAAGAAGTCATTGAAAAACCAAAGCCCATTTCAGTTCCTGTGTCTGAAGTTTTAAAGAAAACTAGAAAACCTCAAAAAAATCTCGTACTAAAAACTACACTTCAATTAGACAAAAACAGTAAGTACTGTAATTCCTATAACAATTCTGGTTTTTATCCAGTACTTCTGTCAGAAGTTTCTGCCTTGGGACATCGTTTTAAAGAATTACTTTCTCTTGATACAAATTTCAGACGTTTTTCTAATCATAACTGAAAGTTAAATGAACATTAGCTTTGAAAGAAAATTATTTTTTAAGACACCATTTCCAAATTGAATTTTTGTTTTGTAAGATATAATAATATTTATCGATTTGCATTTCTTTCAGTGCGTCCCCCGCAAATCTTCTGTTACATGACTAGCTGGTCTCAGAAACGACCTGGTGCTGGAAAATTCTCCCCTGAAGACATAAACCCTTCTCTCTGTACCCACGTCGTTTACGCTTTTGCTACCCTTAAAGATCATAAATTAACTGAAGCTGATGACAAAGATCCTGAAAGATATGAGAAAGTTATTGGATTAAGGGAGAAAAATCCCAATTTAAAGGTAAGGCATTTCTCATATTAAGAAAGGAATGTACCGTTTGCGAATAGATGTACCTACATTGGTTTACAGTATGCGAATTGCCGCTTCGTATTTGTACGTGCGTGTGCTGTCTTCGCACAACTTCCAACAACCAATCGGTGTGCCTGCGCCGTTCATGTACTTCTTTTGACGAACGTGGCATATTATAACTCAATGTCAAGGTGCGCACTTTCGCACGCGGTATAGTACAGTCAAATTGTCGTAAAATCAGGCGGTAGGTAGATTGAAAAAACTAAGGACAAACTGAATTTCTTTTGACATGTTATTTTTGTGTGTCAAAAAAGTAATATCTCAAATTTGCATATTAAAAACTGCACCGTCTTGAAAAAATTTTAGGATCGATTTGCCTATCTCGATTCCTGTTGGCCGAAAGGAAAATAAGTAAGAAGAAATATGTAATGTTCAAAATTTTTTGCCAAAAGCCAAACGATTATAAGTGTTATAAGTGAAAGTGGCAGATTTTGAAAAAATTATAAATAGCATTAGAATTGTCAATAAACTACCGTCCTAATAATTTCTAAGTTACAAGGGCTAAAAATTTGATACTGAGCAAACAAAAATAAATAAAAGGTATAGGTAACGTTTTTTATTTCAATTATAAAACCAGTTTACGATTTATGATATAATACAGAATCCAAAATTGTAAATGCATGTGGTTAACATGACACCATGTGTCTAAAAGTGCAACTCCTAGCAAAATGAACTCATTTAAATTTCATACTCGTTTAATTACTTAAGCTTAGAAATTACCAAACATGGTGGAAGTTAGTTGTGCTTCCTCTTGATGGCTTACATAGTAAATTGCGGTGTATTCTATGACAAAGATAATCAAATAACTACGAACCTAATTTAAGCGCCAGCTTCTCTGTTTGCCTTTCAAAAATTTTAGGCATCACTGCTCAACTCAAACTGCGAAACTTTAATGAATCTTTGGCTCCCAAGTTGAATTTATAATGAGAGTTTACCTGAGTAAATAAAATGAAATTAACCATTAGATTAGACGCTCTTAAATGTTAATCTAAGTTTCTGTTTGATGTGCCTTTATTCGAAATTAAGTAAACTAAAATTTAAGATAAGCGGTATGCATCAATTAAAATTAAAAGTTAATTAACATAGGCAAAAATTGACATACTTTTAATTAATATTTGAGGTTCTGTATCTTACGATTAAGAGTAAATCAGAACAAATTACTTATAATAGATCATCAAATAGTTCATCGCTTCACTACAAAATTACCTCAAATTAATGAGAGAAAATTGTCGCGCCCTCAGCGGGAATCGAACCCTAGTCCTATGGCTTTACGTAGCAACTGTCTAACCACTAAGCTACGAGAAGTGACACCACGAATAACTAAGAAATGTACTTATTAGATCACAGATTTGTCAAACAGGTCCCGGGCTCGATTCTAGGCATGGGTGTAACAGCAGCAATAATTTTTCCTCATTAATTTGAGGTAATTTGTAGTGGATAAAATGGTCAATTTTTCCGTGCAGTACTGTACGGATTATACGCTTCTCACCGGTTAACAGTTTGGCCGGGAGTTGTCTCCTTCCTTTTCTGGCCTAGTGCTGTTCTTTTCTACTTTGCGCCTGTCAAACTGAAGGTCACATCAGTACAGAACGTAAACAAAGTATACGACAAGCTAATCGATTATCCCAAATAATCGATTGTTATTAAAAGCGGAAAATAATTAATTTATAATCGAATGTTCGATAAATAGATTATTAATTGGTTAATCGGGTAATTTTTNGAGTGAGCGATGCGTCCGCGTGGACAGCTGCTATACAATAATACATTTCCATTTACCTCCTTCTCTATATCCATACAAAATATCTATCAAACAAATAAAATTAAAATTTTCTTTTGAAAAATGAAACCATTCCATCAGTATTTTCTTATGACGTTGTCACGTTCAACTATAGTCAGTAAACCGACTTTACAGTCAACCGATTTTTAATTTGAATTGGTATTTTGATTGGTAAGTTTCTACTGAAGTTTAAGTCTGTTATCAGAACAGAGATTGAAGATGCCGACTGTAAAGCCCGAGTATTAAATTTCTGACAGGTTTTTGTTTTAGTTTCGTTGTAATTTAATTGATACGTACATACTGAAATGGCTATAAAAAGTACGATAAAAATTAGGGAGAAATTTAAACCCTATATAAATTTTTATTCAGTGATCGTAAAGCGTGTTTTTATCAGATTCTTTTGGCGATTGGTGGCTGGGCGTTTGGTTCAACTCCATTCAAAGAACTGACTGGTAATGTTTTCCGCATGAACCAATTCGTTTACGACGCCATAGAGTTCCTGCGGGACTATAAATTTAATGGTTTGGACGTAGACTGGGAATACCCTCGTGGCGCCGAGGATCGCGTAGCCTACGTGAATTTGCTCAAGGAATTACGCCTTGCCTTCGAGGGCGAAGCTAAGACTTCCGGACAACCGAGACTTCTCCTGACAGGTACATATAGCATCCGAAGTGAATGTAAATTAACTTTATCCCTACATTATCCATTTAAACCACCCTAATCCATGACGAAACGCGCTTTCATTAAACGAGTTGTCTAAATGAAATTCTCGTTTTACAGCTGCAGTTCCAGCATCATTCGAAGCGATAGCAGCGGGCTACGATGTTCCAGAAATCTCAAAATATTTAGATTTTGTCAATGTCATGACCTACGACTTCCACGGTCAATGGGAACGAACGGTTGGACATAATTCACCTCTCTTCCCTCTAGAAAGTGCCACCAGTTACCAAAAGAAACTCACAGTGGTAAGTTGACCGAAATATTTATGTATTGCTTCGTCAAATTTTTGTTTCTCCTTAAAGGATTATTCTGCCCGAGAATGGGTCAAGCAGGGAGCTCCTAGAGAGAAGCTGATGATTGGGATGCCGACCTACGGGAGAAGTTTCGAATTGGTAAATATTTCGCAATTCGATATCGGAGCTCCAGCTTCTGGAGGTGGAAAACCAGGCAAATATACCAACGAAGCAGGTTTCCTAAGTTACTACGAAATTTGCGACTTCCTCCACATTGAAAACACAACTTTGGTTTGGGACAATGAACAACAAGTGCCTTTTGCCTACAGGGACAATCAATGGGTCGGATTTGACGACGAAAGGAGTTTGAAAACCAAGGTGAGTTCTTCAGAATATTGAATTTTTTGTTTCGAGGAGTTTACTAAATATATTTTTCGATAATTACCAGATGGCTTGGCTCAAAGAGGAAGGATTTGGAGGAATAATGATCTGGTCTATCGACATGGACGATTTCAGGGGACAGTGCGGGGCTGGGAAATATCCACTCATTAACGCGATGAGACAGGAATTGGATGGCTATAAAGTAAAATTGGAGTACGATGGACCATATGAAAGTTCGAATGCCAATGGCCAATATACTACAAAAGATCGTAAGTATTGCAATTCTTTGAGATAAGTATTTTTAGAAATTTAATAAATAACACGATGGAACATTTAGAGACCATCAAAATTAGTACATTTGAAAATATTTAAAAATGCATCAAAACATTTTTGGAGCATTCTAGAACAACTTGGAGCAATTGGCGATTGAATAGGGGAGTAGATTGGATTACTTTAATTAACATTAACATAGCCCATTCTAGTGCGTTAGATAGCTGCTTTTAAAGTAGCGATAAACAAAATTTGATTTGGTCTTGCAGTGTTTGTCTTGGTCTTTATTCTCACAACGAACGACACTGTTTTCTTTAAAAGTTCTGCCAAGTTCGCATGTATGACAGATCATTTCATCATTTAAGATAAATATTATGTTAGTAAATAAAAAACTTTGTGCTTAAAAGAATTATTATAAAAAACGTAAGTATCAAATTAAATGTATAGGACCAAGATCAACATGGAGAGTAGGGTTTCGTCTTGGTCTCACTTTACTCATCACTATATTAAACCTATACGAGATCTGTTTAAAAAGTATCGCGAATTTTGTGTTTTTTCAAAAATTATTTATTTATTCACGAACATCCATTTTGTCCCCTTCAAAGTAATCCCAACCAGATATTGGGTGTGTTCCGAAATATAACCCAACATACTGATCAGTGCTGATAACGTCATAAATCGACGCCATATTGTACTGGTGAGACAAATGTGATGTAGTGGTATATCAAACGGGCGTGTGTGCATCAGACTTTGAGGATTTTTTTATTGTAACAAACTTTTAGAGCAAAATTATTGTAAACGAGCACAAACACTATTGTCAATATGGCGTCAATTTGACATCAATGCACTGGCCAGTATATTTCGGAACGAATCAACAGTATGGCGTCGATTCATTACGTCATCAGCACTGGTCAGTATGCTGGGTTATATTTCGGAACACACCCA